TAAAAACTATTTATAAGCGTGGGTTGAAAAAAATAAACTTGCAGTATGGTACAGTTCAAGACGACAATCAAAAATGAAAAATCAAATACAACAAAATATAGTTTCCACATTGATAATGTTTTTCAATTTATCTTAATTTCAGTCAAAGTTACAATTATGCATCCTTTTTCCTTTTGCAATTAAAAAACAACGAAATTAATTTAAATAAAAGCCATTTTCCTAATCATGAATACAGTCATTTCAGACAGAAATTGGTTGAAAAAAGTGTATATAAACTTGAAACTTAGCAATATGCACTTCATCGTTTTGCTCTAAGGCGCATCCTCAGAATGCAGTGTGATCTTTTGTAACCGTTTGCATCTTTCTTCGAGAGTCGGAGTTCATTCGCGAAGAGAGACCGCGGTGACAAGCGGGAACATGGGGTACACGAGGAAAACACGCGGATATCATAAATCGTCCAATACACCGCATGGACGCAGGCATGTAGTTTTATTATTCTTAGCTTACTTGTCGAACCTTTTGACTTGTCCAATTCATTTCATCCGACAAAGTAGAATTGCTGTGAACTCTAGACATATCAGGTTTACAGAAATGTGCTTTGATTTTTTATTTCAAAGCTTTACTTTCATTCTATTTTATGGGAAATTCTATTTCTGCAGAAAGAATTTATGCTGGATGGTGAATTTATAAGTACAGGATAACTTTATAAATACTCACTCACTGTAAAATAATAATGTACATTTAGTAATTATGTAATGAAGTTATGAAAGTATTCAATTGCCCCATAGGCTAGATAAAAAGGGAATGCCATCGAGCAAACAGATACAATATTATAATTTTAATTTTAAATACTTCATGGGTACATTTTTGCAAAGATTACATCGTGTATCTGGTACTTTGGCATAACTATTAATTTAATTTATCTCTTGTAAAGTTGCTTTCTTTAACTTAATTTACTTTCCAATTTACTATTTTTTATTGTCTTTATGATAACATTAGTTGAATCTAACTTAAAATTAACAATACCTATTACAAAACAATTAAATAACGTATACATAACAAAAGAAAATATTTTTGTCATGATTTTTCAAACAACCAATTTGGACGTACGGAATACAGCTTTGGGGAACGGCACGCAAATCCAACATCGCCATAATACAAAGATTTAAAAACAAAATTTTGAAAGAAATTATAAACGCATCCAAGTATGTCCGGAATTGGTTGGTTCATACAGATTTGAACATTAACACTGTTAACGAAGAAATTGAAAAGTTCAGTCTGAGATACAAGGATAGAATACAGAACCACCCTAACATCATGGCCAAAAACTTAATAAAAAACCATGGCATTGAACGGCTCAGAAGAAAACGGTCCCTTTTTGATATTCTTTAGTAATCATATAATTTGTATAATTACTCGTAGGCTTAATTAAATATTTTCACAACAGGACTACATTTACTAGACATATCCAACATCGAATCGGATCACCAATGGCTGACCTTTTGACCTTCGTCTAAGTTCGAATCTTCGTATAGGAACGACAGATTGGGCTGGTTATACATATTTTACCCTCTACTTTCAAATGGTGGTGGCTGGTTTACATATTTTGCTCTCTACTTTCAAATATTGATGTTAAAAAATGCTAACTTTACGTGATTTGAGATATTGGTGGTGGACCTCTTTACTCGCGGACCTTCAAGCACCATTCTTCACAATATATATGTAGCTTCATTATTATTTTGTACATATAGTTTCTGGATATATTACATCATAAAATACCTCTAGTGAATGAAGATTCAAGTAGAAGAAGATAAATGTAAAGTCTTGCATGCGAAATACAGTTCACGAGAACAACGGATATATTCGTCCCGGTACGTGTCTGGGCACGGGGGCTCGACAGCCCGAGGGCGCGCTGCTTCACGTCTCGCCCGGTCGTGCTGTGCTAACGGTATCGAGACCCGGACCCCGTCAACAATATGCAATTTAGCTAGATACTGTATCGCGTTAAAAACTGCCAGACAGAAAGACAAAGCGAAAAGATACACATTTGTAATTTCTTGTGCAAGTTAGAAATCAGTTGAATTGATTGTATCGCGACAATGTTCCAATTACATTGAATTGATTAGGTATTTAATAAAAATAAATGTTACATTTGTCAACGTTTGTTCATCAGACTGCCGGCGTTGCCTCAAGTTAGTACCTCCACAAGATTTACACGTATATCGATAAACTCGAGTAATCAATTTCTTGCCTTTTCGACATTATAATCGATGAGTTTGTGATTAGTCGCTAGTTTGGTTCGCATTTTTAAATATTCCGACTACACTTACTCCTTATGAATGAAACAGCTAGTGATTTAACAACCTTTAATCACTTCCTCGATTTACAGTGGTTTTTATTTCTTTGTTTTCCTACTGCGCGAGTTTTCGCTCCCGGCTAACAATTGTGCATTGCTAATTGATTGATGCCATAGAAATTCTATTATTGTTCATTCTCTTTATATATAGGTATAGTATAGTATATGGTTTTTGTTAACCTGTTTGATGGTATGCAAGTATTTTGTTATATTGGGAAGAATTTTATATAGTGAAAATATAATATGTTACCGTATTCTTAATAATATTACTACAAACTAATAATAAATTTGAATTTATACATTTTTATCACTTTTTTTAAAACAATTTTTATATACGGAATATAAGTAACAACATTAATGTTTAAAAATCAAAATTGTATTTAGAATATAATGATTATTTACAGAAATAATTTTAAACCATAGCAATTATTCAAGATTTAATTTTATGTATGCTATTGAAGTGACATAACATCTGTAAACATATTCATCAAATTACATATGCTTAAAATTCCATCGTTATCTTCATATTGACCATTTTGGATGCTTTTATTTTCACCATCCATATGGCTATCAAGCTATCGTGTAATTAAAATCCGGTTTTTGTTGTCTCAGTTTGCCATCAGGTAAATAACCGTATAAATTAAAATAACTTAATCGTTGCCTTTAAATTATAACTGTATATTTGCAAAAGACATAATTTTAATTTAATATGAATTAAAAACTTTTCAAATCGATAATAAAAGACTATTGATTCTTACTGTAAATCGAGAGGCAGTTCTTGTTTGTACAACATTAAGTAGTTTGATCTGTAGCGACGAGTATAACAGAGGATTTGCGAAATCGGTTTATAATTTTTATTTTTGTTTTTTTTACATGTTTTGTGTAGCAATTGATTTCTACTTACTTAAACTGTTTTTTTATAATATTTGCTTACAATAAACATGCCGTACTATTGCACTTAAAATGCATAAATATATAACAGAGTAGGGCGGGGCACAAAGATCCAATTTGACTTTTAGTAATTATACTGTGAAAACAAACCAACAACACCAGAACAAATAGTACATAAGTTCAATTAAAAGCAATTATGTTTAGTAAAATTTCCAGCTAATTCGTCATTGTAGAACTAAGTTTTTCAGCTATTTTTCAAAAATATTTTTTGGGCACATTTTTTATGAATATCGTCTTGGTTATAAATTTCTCGTGGAACTTTGTCAGATGAATTCATCATCAGAGTTGGAATAACTATTAATTAACTTCGGGGTAAGTTATTGTAATGGGCCGAAAATCGGAATTGAAAATTTTTACATTTCTCGACGTTTTGAAGGTTTCTGAACATTTTGGAATACCTCAGAAAAAAATGGATGTGTGTGTGTATGTATGTATGTATGTATAAAAATTTCCAGTCACGTTTTTGGGCGCACGGATCAACCAATTTGAATGGTTCAAAAAACATTCGATTCCTATTGATACGGAGATGTGCTGATTAGTTTTTGGCAAAGGCAGGTCCAGCAGTTACGGAGATAAAGAGCAAAGAGTGCAGAAAATAGAAATTGAGGATTTGAGAGAACGGAGCATCCGATTTGAATGATCTGAAAAACATTCAATTAGTAATGATTGGGAGAAGTGTTTATTAGTTTTTGGCAAAGGCAGGCCCAGCCATTTCGAAGATACGGAGCTAAATATGTAAAAAATGGCAGTTTTTGAGAGAACTAAGCGTCCGATTTAAATGATTCAAAGAACTTTCTGCTTGTCTTAACAAAATAATTAATTTCGGAAAAAAATGTTTGTTTCAACTTTTTTTTTTATTTTTAAATTTTTTGTATATCGAAAATAATTCAGATTTTATTTTTAATTCTGACTATAGTTCTAATATACTTTACAAATAATTTCAACTTTGCAATTCAGTTTATATAATTTTTATAAATATTAGACAATGTTACAATATTTATAATCTATTTGAAAACATTCAGTATTTCTCGAACATTCCGTTACGGTACGGGAAGTTCCAGCAATTTGCCTTGAGGCACGATGCCACCCACCCCACTAGTTTAATTAATGTTTTGTATAATTGCTTTGTTCAACTTATTTTACATTTTTATTTACTAGTTTCTCATTATTTACACTTCGTCACTATAAAGGTTTAGGCGGCCTTTTTTGCGCCAACTACGTGTAAAATATTTTAATGGTTTTCTTAAAAAAACTGATGAATCTAATTCAAAAATAACAAACCAAAAAATATATTCAGGTTCAGGTATTGTAAATTATACAACCATGCTCGAAAACAAAGACTAACTAGGAAAAAAAAAATCGTTACAAAATTGCCAATGAGGCCCTTTATCTCGTGATTGCGAAGTCGCCCGATTTAAGACGGCTGGTTGCACATCTTTTGCCCTCTACTTTCAAATATTGTTGTTAAAAAAATCCTAACTTTATTTACTTTTGAGATAATGGTGGTGGACCTTTTTACCTGTGGACTTTTAAGCCCCGCTCTACCCTATATAATTTCTATAGACTCATCAGAGTTAATTTGTCAGAATGCGTAAATTGTAACAAATTTCATTAACTTGCTAGATTTTCTTATATTCTACTATTATTTCTTATGGGAGTCGGCCATAATACAAAATGTCTGAAAATAACTTACCCCGTGACTATTTCAAAGCCAATCATGTCGGGGTCGCATTCCTCTTCGGCGCGCTCCGGCGCTAGTTCCGCTTCTTCCCTCGAACTCGTGTCGAATGCGGGCGTAACTTGTTGTTGTCGCGCAAGCGCCGTTGGTTTGTGATTCGGAATCCTTGCCGCCTGATGATTGCGATGGCGGAATGCCTCCGTTCGACCCCATAAAATTAACCCTAGGAATAGCAGGCATGCGCGGACGTATGCCGGAGCCATGATGCTTTTTTGATAGACCTGTAAGGAAGAAAATGTTTTTATTAGTACTTATTGTTAGTCATGTTTAATTGAAATGTAGGGGAGTCTGGGTATGGTTGTGTCACTTTTTTGATCAGCAATAATTTTGGTAATTTATACTAGTTCGTTAATTTATTACCAGTTAGCTGGGAAAACACTTGTCTACGTGTAAATACTGAAATACTGTCATTACATACTATTAGTAATAAAATCAAATTATATCAGGAAAGTGCGAATGGCCAGGAGGATTGTGACAGGCTTAAACATAGGCTAGCTATAATTAAAGCGTTAAAACAATAGCTATAAACATGAAAATGTTTTAAAACTACTTTTATTGGCAGAAATATGTAACACAATACAACATAATCATTTAAACAAGGCTTATGAATATAATACAACAATATATAACAAAACATAATTTTTTGAACAAAGTTAACAAAAAATCTTTGTGATATACATATATGTTTTTGTTTTTTTGTGCTGATTTTTTTTTCTCTTTCTTTTTCGTACTTTGTTTTATTATTAATTTTCGTAATTTGATGTGTGTTTTTTGGAAGTATTTCTGAAATATAACGCATTTTACAATATATCTCATTTACTTTTTTAATTTACAATTGAATTTATTTTTATCAGTAGTTGTTTTGCATTAACTTTTATTATTATAATATATGTCTAAATATACAATAATACAAATCTGTTTTTTGCAACAAATGCAGCGTTGAATTACTGCAGACAGATTGATTCCGTTTAAGAAGCGCTAATTTGCATATTGAATTCAAGATGCCTTCCCATTGTTATGTTACTTATTACATTTATATTGTCTCAGGTGTATTGTAAACTGTTTGTTATGTCAGCTCGACTTGTTGATTTATTGGAGTCTTTATTTACTGTATAATAAGAAATAATAAAAAATCGCAGAATTTGTTTTGGAGCGTGAATAATTTAAAAGTTTATTAATTATTTAAAATCAACACCAGATAAGGTGTCGACATGTTGTCAAGCGCTTGATATATTATTGGAATCTAGATAGATTCTATTTAAACTAATTGCCATGTTACATCATGGTATGAATAAATAAATATTAGTTTTTTTACAGAAGTGAAATTTTTAGTTTTTTACAGAAGTGGTTCAAATGGATAAGTGGCTATTAAATTTAATTCATAGATAAAAGAATTATAAATAGATTGCAAACATGGCCAATTTGCCATTACCTTACTTTTAATTTTTTTCGCACTCGATAGAGGCGCGACGGCTGTAACACGTCAATCTACCCCTAGTTTTAATTCTACATAAGATTTAGTTAAATATATAATACAGAAAAGATAAACTTGATTAATTTGAATAAATGAAATGATAACAAAATAGTCGCGTATAAATCAAATGAATCACAAATATGTTTTCAAAAAAATATATAATAAAATAATAGCAATCCTTTAATGTGCGTGTATTATGGTTAGATAATTATCTAATCTTATTATCAAATGAATTTGAGCTCAATAGAACCTCCGTTGAGTGCGGAAGTTACTAAAACAGGTTAAAGCACATTTGTCCTCTGTTTACCCCTCATGTTTTAATTATTTATCCAATGAATACTGTTTCAATTAACGGATAAAATATCAATTATTAAATATACAATATAAGTAGAAAACGACAAACTCGTCTTATTAGTGAACTCTCATTTGCTCAAGTCTTCCTTCGCAAATGCATGTGCATCATTGTACTGGACAACAAGTGGCCTCACTTGCACTGAATGCCGTTGTTCCTTTTATCGTTCAACTCTTACCTATATACATTAATATAACTAACGTAACTGTAAATATATTATAAAATACTTATTAAAATTTACTGACATTCAGATTAGATATCCTATTAAAGTACATGAATATTCATGTTGTTTGCGAGCAGACGTTAAAAATTCTCTCTGGTTCGTTATTCGCATATTCGTCATGGTATTATATCTTTATTCGTAATCTGTGCGCTATGTTATTATATTAGTGATTATTAGGTAAATCCATATTTTCATAGTTCTTATAATAACAGTATTTTATGACAAAAATACGAAAAAAGCACTATATTTATATATCATATATTAAACGGCGTATTTTAACTAAACGATTAATTTACTTATTTGTACTTGCTATGCATATAACAGATTATAATGAATATTGTATTAAAACATATATCTTATAGAAAACTATGTATTAACTAACACCTCATTTTCTTCATGTCTTAGGTTTAATATTTGAAAAATAAGAAATTTATATCAGAAGAGTTTCATAAATTGAAAATTTGATCGCACGTAGGTATATAATTTAGTACGTATATTTGTGAAGAGATCAATTGTTTAAAATCAGATTTTTACTTCATATTTTTATATGGTGTTTTACCCATCAGTTTGCAATAGGGGTAGAATTAGTTGTAAGATTTTCCTATACATATTTTTATTTAGTTTATTTCAAATGATTATTCAAATATTATAGTAAATGTAAACAATTAACCTAATTTAAGTTCAACCAAGTAGCGTTTTCGGACTGATTGAATCGATTTTCTGCAAATTGTGCTTATCGACTATGTCGTATATTTTCGTGGTAATATAAATGTACTGGCACCTTCATCTTAGCATGTGTACATTATTGCTATAATAAATATTGTATAATTTATCTATTAGCTACGGACAATGAGCGTGATATTTACGGGACCGTTACGGAATAATAACTATTGCTCCGATTATTGCACCGGATGTATAGCGCGTGTCGTGATTGCTTGTAAATTAAAATTATATAATATTAGTGAATCTTGTTTATATTTTTTCGCTATTTCATAATTAAAGAAACGAAATTAAATTATCAGAAAAGATACTCAGTTTAAGCTGCTTGATGTGATCACATTTGATAGAGAAGAGGAAAACGTTGATTTGAATCAATGGTGTTTCGTTTCACTTTTACCCTGTGCTCATACGATTATATTTGCACTTAAGTTGAGAAGGTTTTTTACTATATTCGACTATTATGTTTTCGACTATTAGTATTATTTTACATTTTTAACAGCAATCAGAATACTATTTATGAGCCATTTCGTTCAATTCATTCACTCACCCCTATAAACACACATATGAAATTGTGCACATTATAAATTTGAGTATGTCAATAGTTGTCACTCGAATGATTCACCAATTCATCTCAGTTGTTCAAAGATGTAATAAAGTTACTCGTCTTGAATATTGTATTTTGGAATCAGCTCGTATGAATATTGTCTTTTCAGCCTTCTTGAAACTGGTGTCTCGAGAAGTTCAGCGACAAAATAATTAGTATGATCTTCCAGTTTTGGGATAGGTTGAATATCTGTATTTAGATTGTCTTGTAAGGTCTTATTACTGACAAATCAAGGAGCATTGGTGATCTGTCTCAAAATTCTAGACAGCTGGACGTCATAAGCCCATATGGGTTGTACCTTGTAAATTAAAAGAGATAGAATTGACTTGAGTCCTAAAAGCGCAATATAGTTCAGCTGTTCGAATTCTTATAGTGTTTAATTTTGCTTGAATATGATCCTTCTAATTTTGAAATGTTTTTATCTTTGTTGTTATGGATAGTGCCTATTGGTTTGCCAAGTGGTTCTTATATTTGCAAGATTGGCATAATTTGCGAAATTTACGATATAATTGTCATTCTTATAGATAGTAGAAAAATTGTTATAAATTTATTAGCGATTTTTTAGGATTTATTTAAAATTGTAGGTTGTGCATAATCTATTATGTTTTTTTTCTGGTGAGCAATTCAGTATATAGTTTTTTTAATTTTTCAGTAGTCAGTAATTCAATTAAAATCCTGATTGATCATAAGGACTGCAGGACAAATATGTTATAAGTCATCATAGTTAAATTATCTCTCCGAATGGAAAATTTAATTATGTCCCGTTCCATTAAACAAATTCAATAGGATTTAATTTATTTTTCGCACATGATAAATCATTTTCTTAGGTAGCACGCGGTAATGACCGGAGTGTATAATTTATGGGAGTCAACTGGCACTGTTTGCAAGTTAAGAATAAGTATTCATACATGTTTTTATGATGCGGTAGCAAAGCCCTCTCGGCGCCCGAACAAGTCGGCACCTCGCCAGCGGGAAAAATACGTGACATGTATGAACCTACTTACTTTAGTGATATATTAACGAACCTATGAACTTATTTTTATAATAAAACTAGTTATGTAGGTGAAGCTATTGATTAACAATGCACTGCAACGCACAGTGCGAGGTGAGTTCGTGACCTTCCAGTATTTTGTTGTCGGTCATTATCTATGACATGGATATGTAATTGGACTTATGATTTATGAGTATTGAGCTTGAAGGGTACTCTCGGTACTAATATTGCCATTCATAAGTCGAGCAGTTACACGTCTGTCTCATTGTGAAGCATTCGCTTATTATAATCTCATTTGGATGCAACAAAAGGATGTGCGTAAAATCGCGCCGCGTTCTTATTAATAGAAAGTGTACCACGCTGCGCTGTTGACATGGGAAATGAATTGACGGCGAAATATAGCAAAGGGCATATGCATGCATTGGCTTTTGTTAATGGTATTTTGTGATTCTTGTCGTTCTAAATCATTAGTCACTAACATCTAATTGCATCGAGATAAATGGTACCCTCAATTACACAGCATTTGAAATCTCGTGTGCTATATTTTCGTAGTTTGACTGATGCGTCATTATAATTATGCTAGTTTTAGAAAAAAAACATGCGCCTGGTGGTTTCTATTGCTTGATGTGGAATTGCTAGATTTATTTTAAAAGACCATATCGCTTGCCATAATAACTACGCGGAACTAATTAATAAGCCGTATTGTAGCAGCACCAATAACACACATACGTATATACTTGTATATATATATATATATATATATATATATATATATACATATACATATATAAATAATGCAACAAAGGGCTTCATACAAAAATGATTTATGATTTATGCAA